ATATATATATATATAGGCCTATATATATGTCTTCATTAATTATGCCTATACATTTAAAGCATTCATTTTTCGATCGATCTCATTCACTGTTTATATTCATCAATGCAATTTCATTTGTATTTCTCCTCCGCCTAGATTCTTTTTGCAAAATCATTTTGCTCATTGTAAGGAAACAAAATTGTGTTTTTATTTTTTCACCCTCATCTGATGATCTTCGAAAAAATATGTTAGCTGACCAAGGTATTAAACATTCTCGCCTCATCTATAGATATGTAGTTTTATCGTATCAAGGTTAGATTACGGTAGCTTAGGCCAAGTAAAATAGTAACAACAATAAAAAAGAAAGGTTAGATAATAATTATCTATCACCGTACCTTTGAAAAGTATTAGTATCCCATCTGACTTTCTCTTGTAGGCTGCATCGACTGGCCCAGGTACAGTCATTAAATCGTCAATATGATCTCCCTCTAATATATCCTTCGTTAAGACAGTTTGTCTTTTTCCTAGACGAATGCGCCAAAGTCGATCGCCCTAAAAGAAAAATAATTATCATTATCATTGTCATCGTCATCATCATCAGCACTATCGCCCGTGTATGTACTAACCCAGCCGTGTGCATAGCCTTATTGAGGGTGAATATTTTGCATAAAATTGTATATTTAACGTAATAATAATAATAAAAATAATAATAATAATAATAGGCCTAATAATAATAATAATAATAATAATAAATAATATTATTATTATTATTATTAAAAATAATTACAAATCAACAGACGTTTACTATACAAATTTAACACAAAATGTATTGACAAAAAAGATCGACGTTTCGTGTCCATCATGTACGAATTTTCAAGATCAAGTGATTAACAATATCTCATTACCATGGACTTGAAAAGTGATTACGGTATCTCAAAGCTAGAGTAATTAGTTTAGATTAAAAAATATAATAATAATAATGATGATAATAATAATAATACAGTAATTTTAAAAGTATATTATTATTATTATTACTATTTATTATTATTATTATTATTATTATTATTATTATTATTATTATTATTATAACTCATATAACAGTAACATACCGGTACTGACCCTTCATCGCTTTTTACTGGTTATTCTTTTTAGCCTACGCCGCATCAGAATTGTGTTTTTTGTTTTTTTTTTGCAATTCAATATCTTTATTCCACAAATAAACATACACCTTAAATTTCACATTTTTCCATTATTAATGGAAAATTATGCTAATTTTTTATTGATTAATTAAAACACAGTCCCACATTATTCACTGCTCAGAACTCAGAGAAAAATAAAAGAAAAATTTTTACCCTGAATGCAAGGAGAACAGAACCTAGATTCACCATCGCATCGAACCCTTTACTACAGGCATCCGGCTCCCTTACTGTGTACGTTGGCGGTGGATTCGGAAGTGTTTTTTTACCTACAAAATTTGAAATATATGAACAAAATGTTATACGACGACCTAATAATGTTTAAAATATCACAGAAGCAGAAATCAAGATTAGCACAGACAAGTCAACAACATTTTACAGTCTGTCAGTAGTTATATATGTTTATTCCTATTTTTGTTTTGTGTGTGTGTGTGTGTTTTTTTTTTTAATGTGAGACGTTGTCATTATGATCTGTAATTTAAAGCAATCAATATTAACAAATACAGTTTAACCCACATTAAGGGATACCTTCGGGAAAAGGAGAGCGTCCTTTTAATAGGGTATCTCCTGGAAATGAGTTGGTTATAGTGTTAAAATACTTTCTTTCATTCGTTTGTGGTTAAACAAAAAATATCCCTTTAATATGGATGTCCCCTTATAGGGTTTTTCCAAATGAGAGGTGTTACTGTATATAAACAAATAATAATAATAATAATAATAATAATAATAATAATAATAATAATAATAATAATAATAATAATAATAATAATAATAATAATAATAATTATTATTATTATTATTATTATTATTATAATAATAATAATAATAATAATAATAATAATAATAATTATTATTATTATTATTATTATTATTATTATTATTATTATTATTATTATACCTAAAAGAAATATTTAATATTGCTGGCTCATTACTACCGTGTTTTGAGTTGGTTCACCTTTAAAATAATTAATCCTTCTCTCAGTGTTAACATGTTGTAAGCATCGCTAAGCTGGATTAACACGTAGATTCATATGAATCCATTCAAATCAAGTGTATGCCTATCATTATTATGACGAAACGTGGTAGGGTAGTTCTCATTCTAATTCTATGAAGATACACAATGCTTTAACTAAGTTTGAATTCATCTTAGAGTACTGTGTATAATTAGTTTTCAACACATTAATTTTATCTATATAACTATATTATGTATACCTGAAGACGGTCAAAAAAAATACGCAGGCCGTGTATGGTCTGCGAAGCTTATGTATTCGCTCAATATAATAATGGAATCACTCGTCGTATTCAGGCACATTATTTTCTTGAGTGCTGCAGAGTACTCTCAAGAAAATAATGGAATCGTCAGCCGTATTCAGGCACATTTGCCGTATTCTACTGGTCGTTCTTCGTTAAACCACGCTCACCTGCGCAGTGGTAAAATCCTACTAAAAGAAGACGACCAGTTGAATACAAAACTTGTAAATACTCGACAAAACAAAATGGCTGCATAGTTACCACGATACACGCTACGTAATCAAGATTGCTTGGACATGTAGCAGTACGGGTTTTTCGTAAAAAAAATGTTTTCATTCAGTTTTTGAATTCTGTTAGCCTGCAATTATGTTTTGACTTGTGGGTAAATAGGCCTATTATAATTTTTATTATCTGAAATTTAATCTAAATTACATCAACGCAAATGTTGTTTCTAAACTGACCAATCGGCCGATTCCATTATTTTCTTTTGTGCTTTAGGGTAAAAACAAAATCGAATTTCCGCGACCTTGTTCTTTTGACATATTCGTCCGATTCCACTAAATTTTATGATGATCCATTCATATGTTTTTGCGTAATCATGCTAATATACAGACAGAAAGACAGACCGACAGACAACAGTGACTACATAACCTCCTTGGCGGAGATAACAACTTAACCATAAAGTTTTTGAATTCCTCTGACATCATCTATGGGTAGTCTATAAGCAGCAACGAATCCTTTGTAGTAAGGCGCCATCAGCGCTGAAGAGTCTTTAGAATGTGAAAGGCCAAGTGCGTGACCGATTTCGTGAGAAGCTACTTGAAAAAGGTTTATGCCTGGAGAAAAAAAAAATATTAGTAATATTATACCCTAATTTATGCAACGGTATTTATAATAGTTTGAAGCTTTAAAATAAATTGTTCCTTCATATAATAATACGAATTTCAATAGGCTTGGCGAAATTTCCTAAGCACCACTTTAAGAGATTATTTTCTCTTAAAGGATACACTACACAAGCACATACAGATCTTACATACCCTTGTCTGATTCGACTGTGAACGTTTCAGAGTCGTCGAAGTGCACATCTCCTCCTAGACCTCTCCATCCCGATGGCTGGAAAGCATGGGCTAGCGTGCCGCCTGGACCATCGAAAGGATAACGATCCATGTGCCTTATAGCTGTAAAATGGATTTCTATATCAACTGGCCCACTTTCCACTTTGTTAAAGACAAGTGATGAAACGTCTGACCATACGCGGAAAGCTCTTTCCACTGCGTCGTCGACTGCTTCTTTCGGGAGATCTTTCGTATACTCAAAAATCCTAATGATAGAAAGTATTAAGGCAAACATTTTTATATAGGTTCATCAGAGCTATATCACCTTGTACCTGTCTCTTATACACATCTAGATGTGTATAAGAGACAGACATTATTCACTGCTCAGAACTCAGAGAAAAATAAAAGAAAAATTTTTACCCTGAATGCAAGGAGAACAGAACCTAGATTCACCATCGCATCGAACCCTTTACTACAGGCATCCGGCTCCCTTACTGTGTACGTTGGCGGTGGATTCGGAAGTGTTTTTTTACCTACAAAATTTGAAATATATGAACAAAATGTTATACGACGACCTAATAATGTTTAAAATATCACAGAAGCAGAAATCAAGATTAGCACATATACACGATACATACATCACATGGTTTATTTGTTAATGTCTTGACCTTCAACAAAGTCATGTGCAGTTGAACCTATAAAAAGGTTTTTTTTTTTTAATGTTATACAATCCACAGACAACCATAAATTATTAACAACTGCTGGCTGAAACGTTTAAATAATAATTTAGCGCCCCCTACGTTTACAAACTGTTCCACATCATCCGTAACATATGTATTCTTAAATTTGTTAATCTATCGGATAAGAAGTGTTGATAATAGGAAAATAAATGAGCCACAGTAGATACTATTTGGCTTCAAATATGAATTCGAATGTAGATATTATTCAACATATTCTACACGGAAGCGTGGCAACGGTGTTCAAACTCATGCCATGTAATTTTTATTGGCGGTTATACAAACTAAAGAGATTTATTTTATTGCAATTTCAAATTTATGCTGGAAATTACACTTTTATATTTTAAATAAAGATAGGCAAGAATTACATTTTTAATTAGGGCATCATAACACTATAAGAATCAGTTGCATGATGTTTCTAGAATTGATTGATTGTTTAGTGTGTTTAGCTTTTAAGCGTTTCAGAACCATGTTGCGGTGGGTATGATGAGTATTGTATTGGTGATAAATGACGTCATTATCACCTGTATGTTAGTGTAGTCTTCCCCCATTTTCGGCCAGTAACGAATTCGTCTGGTTCGATAACACCACTACCAGAGCCCTCAACATCGTCTGCTTCACGTATGATGTCGGGAACTCCGCATCTTGCCGAACTCATCAGATTGTATGTTTCATCATCGACTTGGCCGCTTGGCTCCAACCCAGAAAATCGCTGCATTCTTTCCACTGCAGAGCGGAACGGGTCTGTATCTCCGGCTGTGATGTCATTAGGAGCTTCAGCTCTCTTGAAGTCCGAGTAGCCATATCTATCCAAAAAATCCTTTGAGTGATGTAGTAAAAGAATACTTTAATATAATTTTAATTTAATTGATATGTATATATTAATGTCATGTTTTAAATGTGTGTTTCAATACTTTATCTCTTTTATCAAGGATTCTTGAGTAAATATATTGGCTGATTGAGAATACATTTTTTTTAACTCACTGCCACTCTTTAGTAATATTTTAAATGAATAGACCTTTAATAATAATAATAATAATAATAATAATACAAATTAATAATAATAATAATAATAATAATAATAATAATAATAATAATAATAATAATAATAAAAATGATGGTGATGGTGATGATGATGAGGATAATGATAGTTATAATGATGATGCTGGTTGTGATGATGGTAATGATCGTTTTGAGCATGATGATGATGATAATAATAATAATAATAATAATAATAATAATAATAATAATAATAAAAGTGATGATAATGATGATGATGATGATGATGATGATAAAAAGTAGACCTACTGTACTAGTACTGTATACAGTACAAAATGTCAGCCCAACATTTAGTAAATGCAGGTCTCCCTCTAATTAAAGACCCCTCAAATTATACACCATCTCCTAGATACCACTTTCCTGTGGTCGCAAATTAACAAATGTCTTATCTTTATTATATGGTTATTAGGACCAAAGTTGTTAAAGACCATGGAAAATCCGGTCCCAAAAGTGGTAATTATTTGGAGGGAGACCTGTAGTTATGAATCGAAAGTAATTTCTTGATATTGATAAACCTGGATAATGTGGTCTTTAATTGGAGGGATTCCTGTAGTTTAAGTTAATAAAATAGGTAACATGTTCTAATATCTTACCTGGATTTTCTCTGATCGTTTATCGACCTTTACAGCACATGACACATGAAACACCAAAAGAAGCTCAGTTATCAAGAGTATTATCGCCTGCATCCTGTGTGTTATTGTCTTCCGTGAGCACTTCATCGCTTGTGTCATGTTGTCAGTCGAAGTACAGTACACACGTTTGCTACCAAATATAAATATTCGATACACGCGTTAACGTCTCTAGTTTTGTATCATTTCATATTCAGAAAAAAAAATTCTCCCTCACCAAAATCCTGTAGTGACACCTCATCAAATGCTGATTGCTAATATATGTACGATTTGATTGAGCTATTTATATCTGAGCGTTTTATAAAGAGGATACGCGCATCTGGGATTTATTATTATGTATAGATAATATGCCAATTTGCAAATACTTTCTAATTTTGAGATTTAAATGTTTAAAAGTCTACAAAGGTGTTTTTTTTCTTTATAGAGTACGTGTCATTTAGCAATTCTTGTATGGCCACAAGAAAAATCACTAAAGATGATCCTCTCATTCCTAAGACTAATTTAGAAATCTTTAAAACTACATTCAGCTAAAATGTTCCTTACATCTACAACTCTGTTCCACCGATTGTTCGTTCTGCCTTCTCTTTCTCTTCTTTCAAATCTACCCTAAGTTACATTACATCCAATCTTGTGTCCCTGTGACCATAAATTTTCTTTTTATTGCAATATATTTGAATATTGGTTTTGCTTTCTTTGTTTGTTTTTGTAAAGTAAATTATTTAAATTTTAATAAATCTCTTTATTATAAGATATTATTTAGTATGTAATTTTTAATTATTTTCTCATTAATTCTTGATTAATTTACTATATCAATTATTTTTCTCTTTAATGTGTCAATCTTAGTTTTTTCATTTTGTTACTTATTATTTGTATGTTTCCCTTAATTAAATTGTTATTTTTTAAACATTTCCTGATTTTTTCCCATTTTTATGTTTAAATTTAATTGATTTGTTCAAGTTAAACGTCTAGTTTAATTTTTATTCTTATGTCCAATTGATCAGTTCTGTTGAAATAAAAATAAATAAATACAGTAAATTGTAATATTACCCGTTTCTTTACCGAACCTACCTTATATAGTATACCGCCCTCTATATTATATACGACAAAATATTGAGGTATTATTTTACGTTGTGGTTAGTTACGTTGTAAAAAAAAATAAATATAGCAAAAATAAAAATTGCTATTAAAAGGTTCTATCCAATATGCATATCTACAACATATGAAAAATTAACGTTAATACAATATACATTGAAACCAGTTTTATTGGTAAATAGGGAACTATTGAATTTATAAGTGTATAATTATCACCTAAGGGTTTACATCCGCCCTATATCTAATCTTAACACACGCAGCGAATACTTCAATATTTAACAGAGTTTCACGTTAATATTATTTAGTGCTACAATATTTGTTATTTGTTTCTACCTTGCACACTACGAGAAGAGGAACCTAAAAAGGCTGAGAAGCAAATGTTGACATATAATATGATTGTTGTAATGGCAACATTAAAAGGGCGAGAAAAAAAAAAAAAAAAAAAAAAAAGAAACCTTCGTAACCGTTATGCAAGTTACAAGTAAACTAGTAACACGTTTTAATAACTGTTAGTCGACCTAATTTGCATTAATTAGCATACAGCAACCCTTCTTCCCTGCCCCACCTAACAAAAAAAAAAAAGAAAAAAAAAAGGAATCTCAACAAATCATAATGCTTTGAAGTATTCATTTAAAATAACCACTTAGTTATCAAATTTCAAAAAAAGTCATGAAAAAGAGTTTTTTTAATGATTTATTGATGGGTCTACAAATGTGTTAAATTTGCTGACAAAAACGTTAACGTTGTATGAAAAGACTATAGAATCAAAAAGCTAATTTTAATTTTAATTTTTTAATTTAAGTTAGATTTAATAACAGTAGATCCTAACAAAAAAAAAAAGAAAAAAAAAGGAATCTCAACAAATCATAATGCTTTGAAGTATTCATTTAAAATAACCACTTAGTTATCAAATTTCAAAAAAAGTCATGAAAAAGAGTTTTTTTAATGATTTATTGATGGGTCTACAAATGTGTTAAATTTGCTGACAAAAACGTTAACGTTGTATGAAAAGACTATAGAATCAAAAAGCTAATTTTAATTTTAATTTTTTAATTTAAGTTAGATTTAATAACAGTAGATCAATGCACAATCTGACGAGTAAGGTACTGCACATTTTTTCTCCCTTTTATGGGTGTATCCCATTATTTTATTTCAATCATCACAGAAAATGTCATTGCACATTTTGTAAAAGATTAAATTAATACAATTTTCATATTTTTTTACCCAGGGAATAAGTTAAGAAGTGTGTATATAATATATACACATATCATATATATTTTATGGGTGTATCCCATTATTTTATTTCAATCATCACAGAAAATGTCATTGCACATTTTGTAAAAGATTAAATTAATACAATTTTCATATTTTTTTACCCAGGGAATAAGTTAAGAAGTGTGTATATAATATATACACATATCATATATATTATATATGTATATATATATATATATATGTATGTATATATATATATATTATATATATACACAAACACACATATATATATATATATATATATATATATATATCATGCACACATTAAAATACAATTCCAATTTAATTATTAATTAGTAATGCACTCTCATTAAGATATAGAGCGTTTCATTTTTCAATTTTTTTTCTAAATGTAATGCTTTCTTCCTTTGAGTACTAATACTCTCGTGTAATGTAAAGAAGTACTATTTACATATTAAGAGTGCACATTATTTGTCATACTCTCAATGGTCCTATAAATGCTGTTTTCATTATACTTATTTAGCAGACGTTTGTATTATGTCTGAATATTACTACCATTAGAGCTTATTTGTTTGTGACATATTTTTTTGTGTGAGAGAATACAAGATTGAAAAAATATATATACAACCAATTAATGAAATGATAACATCAGCCAGCGTTGGCTTATCGATATGTGTTCCTCTGCTTTTGTTTTATCTTCTTTAAATTTTAAATTTTGGTTAGGATAGTCTATGGTTTGGTTAAGAAGAAGATGTTTCCAAGAACAGTTTTTATACGCTAGTCCGATTAATTATCGGATCTCTTATTGTTGTTTTTATTGTAGAAGATTGCTCGTTGACTTTCATACTATACCAAAGTTTTAATAGCACTGATGTACAGTAACAGTGGAAGTGGTAGTAGGCGTTAGTGAAAGAAATTACGTATACAATATTATATTTGGGGGAAAATTAAAACAGGGTCATTACCGGTATGCTTTTATAAACTGCAGCGTGCAGTATTAAGTATGGGACCGAATTCACCTATTTCAACAAATTGTATGCCCCTTTAAAGCGAATACGCTGATGACAT